CCAGTAGGCATTAAAAATAGCAACAACAACAAAAAAAAGCAAATTGAAAAGTAAAGTGTGGCTCATCTTTGAAACCACATTAAACCCAGTAGACAGGTTTTCATGTGGCTTTGCTGATCATCTAATGCTTATCCCATGCTGCTTGCAGTAAGGTTTCCATGAAGTACTTGGCCAGAATTTCCTCCTTTTGCAGTTAGGGACTAAGAAACTTCTTTGACTGATTGATTGATTAATTGATTGATTGATTGATTATATGCTATCAAGTTAGTATCAACTTTTAGCGACCACATAGATAGATTTTCTCCATGACAGTATATCTCTAACCTGGTCCTTCAGGTCTTCCAATGGTGCACCCATTGCCACTGTAACTGATTCCATCCACTTTGATGCTGGTTTTCCTTGTCTCTTTCCTTCCAGATTTACCAGCATTAAAGCTTTCTCCAGAGAGTTATGTCTTCACATCATATGTCCAAAGTATGATAATTCGAGCCTGGTCATTTGTAATTTGAAAATATAAAATGATTGATAATAGAGTGCCAAATGATGGGCTCCTCAGGTCAGATGGCACTCAGTGTGCTACTGAAGAAGATCTGAGGATCTTTTGAAGTTCTAAGTATGTTTATGACATGGCTGGATTAAAGATTTTGGGACATGTAGTTCTGATGTTGCCATCGAGGAAAAGAAAATTTGAAGTTGCAAAGACTATTGGAACATAGGACATAGAAGCATGAATACAGAAAAGCTCAACACGGTGAAAGATGATACCAGGCTCAATATGGTGAAAGATTAAATGAAACAACTAGAAACTGACAGGCACCAGCAAATTAAGATGGACTGGGATTGCACACAGTTTATTACTCAGGATATGAAAAACAAAGAAAGGATGGCATTGCTTTTATAGTTAGAAAGGGTACAGCAAGAACAGTACTTGGCTACAATGCAATCAATGACTGAATAATATTAATAAAATTTTGTGGATAACCCTTTAATATGATGATCATCCAAGTTGATGCTCCAACCACTGATGCAGAAGAAGAGAGTGATGGGTTTTATGATCAGGTTCAATTTGAAACTGACAGAACATGCACGCAAGATGTGATGCTTGTGATTAGAGACTAGAATGCTGATGTTGGAAATATCAAGGAGGAAAATGTAGTTGGATTGTATGGCTCAGGAAACCAAAATGAAGCAGGAGAATGACATATCAATTTCTCTCAATCCAATTTCTTCATTGCTAACACTCTTTTCAAACAACCACAACTATGCTTGTATACATGGATATAACTTCTTTGTGGACATTATCTTAAAATAAATGGTCAGAATTGTGATCTCCATAAAACAGTAGAACTGGTTCTTTACTGATGGGAGTTCATTTTCTGAGCACAAGAGCTACTGTTTTAAATGCATGCCTTTGATAGTTTGAAAAAGAAACAATGGCATCTGTGGGAGGGTCAAAACAAGCAAGAGACAGCATGATCAAACCCCTGCCCTTTGTACATGCATATGTCAACATACATGCATATAAAAGGTGGGGGAGAGCTTGCATCATGCCATGCCATGACCACGCTCCTGCGGAACCCAGTGAGAAGAAGACTGGAAGTATATCATAGAATGATAGTGTTGAAAGGCACCTGAGAGGACAGGTAACTCAATCTGCTGCTCATTTCTGGTTCCTGAACATTGGTCAGCGGGTTCCTTTTTATCAGCTGTACCATATTTAACATATGATCATTAAAGACACCAGATCCTTCTCACATGCACTGCTATACTATGCCTCTCCTTTTTCCTGTCCAGATGCAGAACGCAACATTTTGTCCTGTTAAATTCCATCCTACTTTTTGCAACCTACTGCTCAAGCCTGCCTAGATTTTTTACCATTCTCTTCTAAAATGTTAACCACTTCTTCAAGCTTTGTATGATCAGCAGGCCTGATAAGCATCCCCTCCACTGTCTCATCCAAATCATTGATTAACATGATGAAGAGTACCAAGCTCAGGACAGAAACCCATGGAACTCACTCAATCCTTTAGCAGGCCTATCCAAGTGCTCAGAAGGATACAGGCTCTTAACTTTTTAAAGGAGCAGGCATTGGGAACTAGAGATCTCCTCAGTACACATGAGTGGAAATCTGCACTTGTACTTAAAATCTTGTCAGATAGTCCTACAGAACAGCAAGCAATCCAAACACTGTTTCCCATTTTACACAGTTGACCCATATTTCTAGGGAAGTCTTATGGAACTTATCTAAGAAGTCCCATGTCCTGAGGACTTAAAATACGATCTGGCCTTAAAAGAGATCTCTGTAAGTGTTCAATTTATTGGTATCTAGGTTTAGAAAAGGCAAATGTTATTTTATGACTTGGGATGATATTCTAAAATTTAATTGCTATGTGAGGGACATAGCATGCATTTAGATCAATGGAGGCTTTTTTAAAGCCTAATTTTTGAAGGGGGGGGTGTTGCACTGGGACAAAAAGGGTCACTACTTGGGAGGTTAGGGCTAAAGCTTCCTTCAGTCCTGTACCCTTCTTCAAAGAATGAGAACTTAATTGCTAGGAGGATGTTGGGAGGGTTTATTTGTGTATGTGGCTTGAGGTGATGGGAATTGTAGTTCAATACAGTTGGAAAACTCCTGGTTGGGAAAACTGGGACAAGTCTGTTATGAAAGCATGACACCAAGGATACCTATGGTACAATTTTATGATAATGCTTTCAGTCCCTCATGTTGTAAGGAAGTTTCTTGCCAAAACCCCTGGGCATGCAAGATAGTTGTCTGAAGGAAACCTGTACTAAAAGGATGAGAAGCATTGGATTTCACATGCCAGCCATTCACCTTGTGTAGTTCCTCTCCAGCTGAAGCTGCAGATTTGTTGTTTCACTGCCAGTGTTGAGTTTTTATTACCATTAAATCCAAAATTAAATTCTTTTGAGCTACACGCATCATTGAAGCAATTATCCATAAGCCTCCAGTTGTGAAACTTTTAAAACTTGAAGTGGGAATTGCAAGGAGTAGGCACAAAAACAAATATATATGTATCTTTCTTTCTTTCTCTCTCTCTCTCTGAGACACTGTCTATACATACACACACACACACACGTGTGCACGCTCACACATACACATCAGTTAGACACAGGCGTACCCCTGTTTTGATCAAGGAATTACTAGATTGCTTATACTGATTCAACTCTAAAATGTTATAGAATATAAATGTTTTATAGAATATAAAGTTTTATATCAGTGACCTAGAGAGATTTTATTACTTCAGTTGTGGTTAACTAAAAAGTCCTTATTTGCTGACTTAGTGACAACAGGGATGCCCATCTGTACTGTACAGGTTAGCATGAAAACAAAATGAAGCAATATTATCCTAGTTAGCTTAAGTGGGGCAATTTATCTCTGAAATTATTATTTTTTTAAAAGAAAGAAATCATCCTAAATTTAGTACATGGGGCAAAAAGTCCTTTCTCCCCCTTTGATATTTCCTGTAAAACCCCTTTCCCCACTTCCATACAGCAGCTTCTACTGAGCAAACACTAGGAAATGTTCATAAAAGGCCTGGAGCTCATGGATCTGCTGTAGGAGAAGCAAGGAAGGAAGAGATTGCAGGGGCCCTGT